TTTTCAGGTATTTTAAGTTCGTAAGCTTCCTTTGAAAATATTCTATTTATATTTGCATTGTATTCATCCTTTTTCTTGATTTTCAAAATCATATTTATAATAGCTAGTTTAGTGTATTTGTCAGAGAGTTCCATCCCTGTCATTGCTGAGTCCATTTCTACTTACTAGCTTTTTTCTTTCCCCAGGATTGCATCACATTCTCTAGCTTCTTCACAAAGCCAGTAGTGTGTTATTGGATTCTGACACTTGTGATATTTACAGTGCTTTGGATTTTGTTCTTTTGAAATTGTTGGGCTTTGTTCTGGCATATGTTTAAGCTCCTTGTGGTTCAGATTAATCATTTCAAGGCTCTGAGAAATATCTTTTTAGTGTGGGTTAGAGTGAACTCTGCTATGTGGCTAGTGCAGCTCTACCACTAAGGCATGACTCCTGTGGGCTGTCTCCTAAGCAGTCTAGTATGTTGCCTGATTGGAACTTGTATCACAGCCCTGCACTTTCTGAGCTCTGACTTTTCCCCATCGCCCAGCTGGACGTTTTTTGCAGTAGGACTCCAGATGATCCTCCACAGTGCTGCTAAGATTTCTGTTTTGTTTTTCTCCATGTTGCCTCTTCCTCCCCCATGTATTTTCCAATCTTTTCAACATTCCAACAGCTTCAACCTTTCTGAACTCCAGTGTCTGTCTGTATTTTGACTTTGAGCTACCATTTATACTCTCCTTGGATTGTTCTTCATTGCACTGAGATTCAGAAAATGATTGCAGCCAGAAAGCCAGGGCAATTACATTAATCTCACTCATTTCCCTTCTTCCAGGGATCAGGGTCCAATCTTGATGATTGTCAGATGCTTGAAAAGTGTTTTTTATTTATTTTATCTAGTTTTTCTCTTTTCCTTTTTTTTCCTACCAAGAGGCTATTTCTACCTTTAGTTCAGTTACTCCATGACTAGAAGACAAATTTATTAATTGTCAATGGTTTATCATTGATACTTTATTGTTAAATCCAAACTCCTTAGACTGAAACATAAGACGTTTATGATCTAGCCCCAGCTTATGACCATCTAACTTTGTTTCCTGCACTGTCCTCTGAATTCTGTGCATGACTGCAGGCACATCAAACCACATCTCTTGTAAATAAGTGTCATCCTCTACAATATAAATTTGGGAACTCAGATGTTAGTAGAGGTTTATACTATCACTAAAATGTCAGAAATTCCAGATTATTTAAATAGTATATTTTCAAGGAAGCTATCCTAAACATTGAATTATAAAATTTAAAATGTGAATGCTTAAACTCTGTATACTTTAATCAGAGATTCAGCATCTATAATCTAAGAACTATCATAAAAATGCACTTAGTTGTGGATAAAACCATTTGTTTTGTATTTAGAGGAAGCCAGTGTCACTTAATATTTGCTAAGTACAATGAGGACAGTTTTTTGAAGGTAAAAATCTATCTACTTATACCTCTAAGAGATTATCTTGTTGGCTATTTATTAAAATAAATCAGTCGTTTATTAAAATGGCTAATTGACAAATGAATAATGGATACAAAGACAATGAGTGTAATATACTAATTTCTCATGATTTCTCTTTACTATCAAATATCAATGGCAAAAATAAACCTAATTACATATAAACTAAATACATAAGTATAGGGGCAGTTGAGAAATTTTTACTTCTATATAAAAAGGCCATTCATTTACTGATGGGGCCAAAAAATTCTGTTTTAAACAATATTCTAAGAAAAATTTTTTAGGAAATAGTAAAGCCACTTTGAAAATATTAAGAGGTGGTAGCATTTTTTTTCATAACGAATTCAGAAAACAATACACAGCTGTTTGGTAAAATAGTGTGAAGAGGAAGAAATGTTAGGATGTGATTTTTGAAAGAGAAGAAAATGAAAACAAAATTGGGAAGAAGGAAAGAAAAGTAGAGAAGTAAAGAGAAAGGAGAACAAGAAATGGGATGAGAAGAAGGAAACAAGCATGACTGCTAAACTAAGGAGAAAGAAAAGATAAAAATGTAAAAAGAAAATGTAACGAGACAAAGGACTTTTGAAATTATAAGTAAAGTTTTGCATATTTATAACTTGTCTCAAGTCATTGGGCATTTTAATGAAGGGTTTCTTTTCATTAAAAAGTAATATATGAAAAAAAAGTAATACATGTTCATAGTAGAGTGTTAGGAAAATGCTTAAGAAGAAAGAACAATGGTCACCTGGAAGGCTGGTAGGCAAATGCAAGAATTTTAACATTTGTATTATTATTTTCTTAAAATTTAGATACATTTCCAAAAGTTTTGTTTGTGTGACATAAACATCTGGACTCCTTAATCACTTAAAAATAAAGCTCAAACATTTTTAATCCTAATAGGACACTGATGTTGATTTAGTAGCATAATTTGATAACATTTTACTGAAAAACTACAAACATATGAACAATGGACAGGAGTTCATAAGTGACAGTCCAGTAACCCAGGGCTCAGTGGCTAGGCCTGCAGGTCAAGGGCAGATGGTTGTGTGAAACATCCATGGTGACCTTCAGCTAGGAGTTGTGGCAACCTGGGGAAACTCCACAGGGATAGATAGGGCTGGAAGAATAGACACTCCAAAACCTCTCTTCTCCCTCTCTTCAGTCATCCAGGAGATTCACGTTAGCTGAAACTTCAATTTTCTTTTCATATCCTATTTTACTTCATGTGGCCCAAAGGAATTATGATTAATTCATTAGTGTAACAAAGATTAATCCAAAATCCATTAATCCAAAACTTTATTGATATCGAATGTATGTATTTTATCTCAATACATGTCTTTTAAAAAGAAAATTAAGCACCTGACTATGCCACATTCCCCTTTTGGTTTTTTTTTTTTTTTTTGACCCTGAGATAATCACAATTGGATTATTTCACTTATACAGAAATGTTTCATTGTTTGCAGTAGATATTACTAGAAAACATTGCCTTGTAATTGTTAATTAAAATTAAATCAGAATGCACATTTTTAGAAAATCATTTTGGTAGAATATGCAATATAATATGTATTCAGTGCATCTTATGTTGCAAGTATATCTCATCTTCACAAAAAATTGATTTGCTAATTTCTCTCAGATCTCACAAAAGGTATGTAATACTCATTTTGTATACTGATTTTTCAATCTGTAAAATTCAAGCTTGCATTTTATCAAATACTCTGTTTTACTGTTATCATTGACATTAGTGTTAATACTGAACAGATTAATTTGCTTATCATAACTTCTTTAAAGAACAACTTTAAAATTTATACTAAGTAGAAACTAAATGATGTGTTTACCTATTCCCAACCACACAAAACTCCATTAGTAATTAAGCAATTGTCTTTTTCTAGAACAGGGAGGGAATCTCTATACGCTGGTATTTGAAGAGCATAGACAGTCTTCCTCTGTTCCCTAAAAATAACATGGTCTTTCAACAGTAAAGTCTAATGCCAAGACTTCTTCTTAAATATGAGGTGTGAAAGACCAAAACACAGTAAGTTGCCATTTTATGGTTGTGATTATGAAGTAGGGAAACAGGGGAATCCGTTTTAGAAAGGCTAGGTCCTGGCTCTTTAGTTTGTTTGTTTTTGCTAGACCACATTTCTATATTTTGCCTCTGAACACACCAAAGAAGCTATGTTCCCACTTCAAGGGGGAAGCAAGAAAGCTAATCATTCTCTGGGTTTTGTCCTAGGTCCTTAACACATGATAACATCTAAGAAGAACTGGATCCCAAACATGTTCCAAGGCAACAGTCGCTGCTATCAGTACCTCCTACCTTCGATGATTCATGAAATAACAACTATTATTCACCTATCACTCAACTTTGATTGGACCCTATACCCTTTTCCAACATAAAACCCTAACACCAAGCAACAGTGAGACGACTCCTCCTTTCTAAGTCTCCTACATCAATTACAAACCTATTCTGGAGTCAGACTGTCACATATGATTCCTGGCTCTGCTACCTATTAGCATGAATTGGGCAAGTTACTTAACCTCCCTGTGACTCAGTTTCTGCATCTTTAAAAGAGGATAATAAAATTATCTCTGAGAGTGAAATAAGTGAAATAAATAAGTTCATAAATCGAGGCCTCACTTATTAGATCATAGTAGCTTAATGTAAATCTTTGGACCATAAGAGTATTTACTGAATAAAATTGAAAGAAGGAAAAGAAACCTGGAAGAAAGGCGGGAGGGCAGCATCTTGCTATTCATTTTTTAAAAAAAATTTTAATGTTTATTTATCCTTGAGAGAGTGAGAGAGGGGCACAGAATCTGAAACAGGCTCCAGGCTCTGAGCTGTCAGCACAGAGCCCGACGCGGGGATCGAACCCACGAACTGTGAGATCATGACCTGAGCCAAAGTTGGATGCTTAACCAACTGAGCCACGCAGGCACCCCCTTGCTATTCATTTTTAAGCAACCATCCATGCCTTTACTTATGTACTCTACCATAATTTCTTAAACACATTGACCATATATTATTAACAAGGTCCACCCAACATCTTTCATATTGTTTGATAAAATAGATGCTCACTTAATAGATGATGAATTAAATACATAAAACTAGAAAGCCCTGGATATCTGAAATCGGATAGAAAAAATAACATTTTTCTCAAACAAACATACACAAAAAGGAGGAATTATCTATATGAGGCCCAGGAAAAAAATGAGCCAGAGCAGTAAGGAGCTGGTAGGCTGAAACGTACCTAAATGAGCCTCTTCAATCAGTCCTCTTTCAATTTAGATACAATAGACACCCTATTTCAGGCATGTAAGATCCAATTCCAGCTGTAAGATGGCTCAAACCACTTGCTTTACGGTTTCTCTTACATAAACAAAGTCAAGTTGATGGTACCTACACATCTTTCCCCATACTGGAAACACCTCTGAAAAAGGTTCTGTAAGAATATGACACTAAGAATATATAATACCTCATACCAGTGCCCACCATGACTCTTCCACATTGCCGTGTTTGTGTACTTACTTGCTGGGTTTTCAGTGTTATGTAGACTGACCATTGGGATGCCTGGGCCTGGATTTTAAAAACATATGTATAAAAATATGTATAAATATTTTAAAGACAGTTAAGTAATACTGATTGGAAAGGCTACGTAATGGTTATTTTTCCCAAATACAAGTATTTCATATTAAAAACATAATGAAACAAGCCAGATAACTACATTTCATCACTGTCTATGATGTTGTATTCAAGAAAAGAACATATGGGGAAAGAAACTATTTCCAGAGATCATTTTTGAGATTTTCCTTTCCCCAAAATGCCCTGTACTTCTGTATTTCTGTGGTTCCCAGTCTTCTCCCTACCCTTTCACTACTCAACAGAACGGTCAGTGATGCGCAGAATGCTGGTTCCGGACCCTGTGACCCCTCATTAGTTCACCCAAAATTAAATTCTGTTTACCCCTCAGCCAAGAAAGCATGTGTAATAGAAATATCATATACTAATTGAAAAAATACATTAACTGGAATCACCAAATATTTCAGATATACTAGTTAATGCAGTGTAACTATAAGATGTTCTCTTGAAGATTTATTCCTCTATAGAATTCTATCTAGAGGTCTAATGGTTTTTCCCTGACGTCCTCAACCAAGTACTGTTTTGACTACTTTGTTTCTTTGACTACTTGGTATCTACCAAGATTAAAAAAAAAATAAAAAGAACAAATTTATTCCTCAGGATGTCTCAAGTGAGGACAGCTTCACATACCGGCTGAATCAACAACATTCATTCCATCACATTATAAGGGACCCATGTCTAATGGGCAATGATTCTTATCAGTATAACCTAGATATACCATACTACTATATAAGTCTATAGAGTATTTTTACTTGATAGACCTAATCGGGGTGAATATAATGTCTCTGAATTTCAGGCTGCTAAACTCAGGCAATTGAATCTGTAGATCCTAAATCTCTTAACCTCCAAATCGGTATTTTAGTAAGAGGACTGTGGTTGTTTTGTTTTGTTTTGTTTGGAAAGACTAGGTAAGTAAGTTTATTGTTGTAGCATGACTTTGGTGATGTAAATATGCTTTTCCACTTTTTCAAAAAGTTCATGTTTAAACAGCCCTTAGTGACCACAAGTAAATGCTGACTCCCAATTGTTTTCTACATGAAGATGCAATTTGTATCTCAGTGAATCCATAACTTATAACTTAAACAAATTTAGAGTATCAAATCATATAGCTAGAGAGTATAGTTACTCATGATGGTAATAGATACTAATTAAATAAAATACTTACCTTTACAGAATAATAAGAAATGTTGATTCATAGGACTAAAACTGGCACCAAAATATGTGCACTGTTCTTTCATAAAGTTACATGAAATGCATTGACGATTCAATAATCCTTCAGTAGAAGCACTGAGAAAAGAAAATTAGAAAGGGTATCATTCCAGGTACTTGAGTGTGTGGCGTATATTTAAATATTAACATAAACTCAGGAGCTACAGCATTGCTTATATCGAGGTTCCTTGTCAGTTAGGATCTACCATATAAATGCAAAGCCAATTTCCATTACTAATGTTAAGAGATACATTTTTCTACTCTGTAATAACATTAAAATCCTGTATGCTTATAGGTATATGAAAAGTATGTACATATGCATGCTTCTAAATGAATTTATTTATGCAGGACTCAATATAACTTATTCTTATCTGCCTTTTCTCTATAGATACTTCTTTGCAAAGTTTTAAAAGGAAGTGCCCACAGAATAGCATAAACTCACCATCAATAAATATTAGTTGAAAGAACTAATAAATGTTTTCACAAGTCACACAAAGAATCAATCTCATGATTTCCTAAATTCAGAATTCTAAACATTAGAATTTGGTATCCGTCAAAGTTTCCCACTTAATAGATACACTGAAAATACTGGCACTAAAGACTTACACTGAAATTTTTGGTAAAGGAACATTACTTTTTGTGTGATAATATGTTAATCATCATGCATTCTTTGAGACATCAGGGAGGTAGGCAAAGAGAAAAGACATCATCTCTTCATTTTATAAATAAGGATGCTTAAGGTCAGAGGGATTGAGATATTTACTCAAGGCTAAATTTCCTATATAGGATCATTTATTTGATGTATCATAAATTATGCTGACAGCTGGAAATGCTGGTGAAGGTATATCTTAAACTTGGAGAAAATAATGGAACATGACCCTGGATACACATGTGTAAATGAACTATAGTCATTTGATGTGCAGTATGCTGTAGACACGTGGAGGGGAACAGGGGTATCGCGTGAACACCAAAACCGATTGAAGGTAGATGTTAAGTATAGTTCATGAACTCAAATTTCACATTTGAAACATTGTGGGCTCATTAGAATCCAAAATTTTCCTTTAATGGTCTAATGATCAATATACACTAAGCACTTAATACATTAGCCCACTTCACCCTTATACCTTACAAAGCAATCATACCTGATGGTTTTCTCTTTGAAACTGATCTGTGTGTGTGTATACATTCACACACACACACACACCATAGCATTTGCCATTTTAGTCATTTTTAGGTATAAAATTCCTTAATTAGAGTCACAATGTTGTGCAGCAATCTCCACAGGCTAAGAATGCATGCCAGTTTCCCACAGCTACTTAAATTTAAACGCTTTCCCTCTCTACTACTTTGTATAACTTCAGACTCGAGTTCCTCAGAGGATATTTATCATTACTAAGATCATAATCTAAATTATGATCATCTATTGAAATAAAAAATCCACATTTTGAGAAATGCTCATTTTGAGACAACATTCATTCTAACACTGACTTTGGCGGGATTTGTGATTCTTCAGGGTATCTCATCCCATAAATTAAGTTAACCAATGATTCTTTTTATGACCTGGGTAAGACAATGATGGAGTTTTCTGGGGTTAAACAGTAACGTTATCTTATAGTCAAGCCAACTGGCATTTGCTGAGCTACTTAAGGGGAAATTTATTGGTACTGTATTTCCTTTATAATATGGCCTGCTTCATGGGTGCAGTTCATAGATAGACTGACTATTCTGCCTCAGTCACTGGAGAGCAAAGACAAGCACACAAATCTAAGAAGTCATTTTGATTCAAATCACATTTTTGGCTAATCAAATTGAGAAGAGAGATTGAGATCATTCCATTGGCTGAAATGGGCCTAGTCTAATCTTTTGACACTGTCATTTTTCTTTGAGTTTCATAAAATGAGAGAAATAAAACTTTGATCTACTAGTTCCACCACGTTAAATTGTTCACAACTGCCATGGCTTCAAGAGAAGCTTCAGGTCACCAAAAAGACAAAAGGGACCACTACTTTAATCAAGATCTCTAAACCAAAACTAGAATCAGTCTCTCTAAATAAAGAGCTGTTCTTCCTTTGGAAGTCATTAGAATTGAGAATATGGGTTTTGGACTCTAAGAGAAAAACAAAACGGGCGCCTGGGTGGCTCAGTCAATTAAGCGTCCAACTTTGGCTCAGGTCATGATCTCATGGTTTGTGGATTCGAGCCCTGTGTTGGGCTCTGTGCTGACAGCTAGCTCAGAGCCTGGAACCTGCTTCAGATTCTGTGTCTCCCTCTCTCTCTTTGACCCTCCCCTACTCATGCTGTCTCTCAGAAATGAATAAAACATTTAAAAATTTTTTAAAAAAAATAAGAGAAAAACAAAATAAAACCCCATAACACAAAGAATATAAAAATCACATATTGGGAGAGGTGATAAAAAGAGACATTTGCTTCAAATGAAAGCAATTTATGCATAAATAAAAGTGTGTAGTGAATTAGAGGGAGTTTAGGGTGCTTTGAACATGCATTTTTACTCCCAAGGGAAAGTCTAGGCAAGTGGGTTAGAATCGGGTGACACTTCTTCAAACATGATGAATTTCCACTGAGAATACACCATGGCAGTTTTGACACTTTAAAAATGAATCTGCGAAATGGAAATTAGAAAGTGTATATAAAGTCTAGAATTAATAAGTTGCTTGACAGACAAAAATAAAAGTCATTCTTATGAGGTCCTGGTGAAAGCCTTCTAAGTGAGGAGACATTTTAATACTAAATAGGTATGACCTTAAGTATCTTTTATGAATATAACTTTCCATCTGGGAAAATTGGACAGATGAAAACATTACCCATCTAATGCTTTATTTTAGTAAGCAATGAGTGTTCCTGGCTTAAATAATGATCTTACTAGGTTTTAAACACTATGGGGGCAGGAGAGGAAAACATCCTCCTGATATACTCTTCTAAGTGTTCACAATGGTTTTATTTTGTTTGGGAATAAATTACTAGTGTACAATATAAATGCACCAAAAATTCAAAAGGAGGCTTAGCAGAAGAAAAGTCCAATGAGGAAAATATGTGAATTCCCGGGAGGTAAGTAGTTGAGAAAAGCAAGCCTTAAAAAAAGATACTTTGAGACTGTAAATGTAAAAGCAAGTGAGGAAAAAAAAATAAAAAGGAAAGCTAGACAGTCTTCACTTCAGGTCCAAACCTTCAGGCTTGCGAAGGTCCAGAGATGAGAGACTGGACCAAGAGTGTGAGGTTGCATCATGTCAAAAATGAAACTGCAGATTTTTCTATCCTATCATTAAGCTGTGAAGACGGTCATTGAGAAATCTACCTGTGCAATGAAGTTTCTGCACCTTGCTTACCTGTACAGCTGCCTCCCTCTGGGAGAAGACTCAGTGCTCAGAAAGTAACTGCCCAGGGAAAGAAAACAACACACACGTCAGGCACAGATTAGGTTTTGCCATGCTGAGTTTTCCCTTCAATTTCCAAGCTCTTGCCTCTTATTCAACCACAGGACTCTGATCCATTTGGGAAACACATCAATTTTTCTTAAAATATATCACACTTCTCTGTGATCTCTCTTAGTCTGAGTGTGTGTGTATGTATCTGTGTAAATGTGACTGTGAGAGTGTCTATCTGGGTGAAGAGTAGGTAGAGTTTTTAAAGAAAACATTGCTCTTTCCAAGGCCATGCTGTCTGGACTAGGACCACAGGAAGCAATACATAAATCTGGCAGAAAAGATTGCGTTTGACAACCATGACTTCCAACCTGACTAGAGAACCAAAAATGCTCACATTTTTTGAGTAGTTTCATCGTATGCCAAGATCTTTATCACTTCCCAGTTTCCTGATGTCAGATGCCGCACGGTAATTTGCTCACTTTTACTCTGCAAAGAAATAGAAAGTATTGATTTTCTTCTTTTTTTTTTTTTTTAATTTAAACAGCATTTCTCTGGTCAACACAAAAATACCAACTGCCTGTGTCACTTTTAATTCTGCAATTCTAGGCTAACACTCAGTTTCTTGTTTTTAATCTCAAGGATGCACACACATTCATGTAAACATCGATCTGGGTAGGAGAGTGTCTTTTCTCTGTTACTGTAGGAAAACCATTAGAAGACACTTCTAGGTGAGGACTGGCTGTGCAACACGTTGACACAGGTTGGTACCACTCATCTAAATGACCGGGGACTGTAGTTTGGACAGCTTTAAATGAAACATTTCAGAACAAATTTTATTCTAAATAAATGCTATTATATACTTTTAACCTCTACAGCATTGCATCATTGTTACAGTTTGCTAATTTCACACAGGAATTTATTTCTGAGATTATGTTGTTTTTACAGCCATAGTTTGTTTCCACTGCTATGTCATATTTTGTATGAATATAGCATAATTTGTTTTATTGGCATTTGAGCATTTCCAAACTTTTGTTCTGAAAAACAAGTTGCCTATAAACAATTCTATTAAGGTCTCCTAATGCACATGGCAGGATTTTCTTGAGACAAACACCAAGAAGTAGGATTGGTCATTAGTAAACATGTCTTCTACTTGACTAGATCATGACAAAGTATCTCCCAAAGCTGTCCCTACTTACAGTCTACCAGCAACGTGAATTTCCATCGCTCCTCATCTTCTCCACTTCCTTACTGGCAGTTAATTCATCAGATTATTTTTTGTTCAAGCTACCATGTATGAAATTGTACCATATTTGTTTTCTTTTTAATTGAGAAAATGTTCAAACCTACAGAAAGGCTGAATGATACTACATGAACACCCATGAGATCGTTACCTAGATTCACCATGCTTTATCAACCTGTTGAATATTTGCCCTCCTTCTTTTGATGTCTGCTGAATCATTTAAAAGTAAGTTGCAAACATAAGGATATTTTTGCCTAAATACTTCAATATACATCTCTCAAGATTATTATTTCCACATGTAAGCAAATCACATACACACCTATGAATATTTACATCAATATCATCTAAATATAGTCTATACCCAAATTTCCACAACAGCCCCCCCCCCACAAAGTGTTTTATGTTTAGATATGTAAATATGTACATTTCTATATTTAGATAAAATAGATGTCTCAATGTTTATATATGTTGGATTGTCATCTCTTTTATCTCTCTTAAAGAAAAACATTTATCTTTTTTGATTTAATACTGACCATTATTTAGACTCTTGGTCCAGTGAGCGGTCTTATAGAATGTCCAGCATTTTTTATTTATCTGATTGTTTTCTTATGCTTTAATTTGGGCTAAATATTTTTGGCAAGAATATTACACAGGTAATATTGGATACCTCTTCTGCTTCATATTAAGAAGAATACCAGGGCACGTGGGTGGCTCAGTCGGTTAGGCGTCTGACTTTGGCTCAGGTCATGATCTCACGGTTTGTGGGTTCTAATCTTGCATTGGGCTTGGTGCTGACAGCAAGCTCAGAGCCTGGAACCTGCTTCAGATTCTGTATCTCCCTCTCTCTGACCCTACCCTGTTCATGCTGTCTCTCTCTCTCCCAGACATAAATAAAACATTTAAAAAATTTAAAAAAAAGGAATACCATTACACGTCTTCCCACTCATGACAGTATGTTTACATGGTAACTGTGAGATATAGTCATTGTAAAAATACATTTTGCCTTTTAATTAAAAGTGGGATGATACTTGCACATTATGTGAGTATCTTTTTCTCCATTAACTGTTTACTTCATATGTTTATTCTCTTTAAGTAAAATTGGCATCAGTTTGATTTACATGCAGGTGTATTTGCTTCTCTTAGTATTCCAACATACCTTTGGTGTCCTCATCTTTCTATTTAATATTCTTTTTATTTTTTTTAGTGCTTATTTTATTTTTGAGAGAGAATGCAAGACTATGAGCAGGGGAAGGGCAGAGAGAGAAGGAGAGAGAGGATCTGAAGCAGGCTCTGCACTTTGAGCAAAGAGCCTGCTGTTGGATTCGAACTCACCATGAGATCATGGTGACTTGAGCTGAAGTGGGACGCTTAACTGACTGGCTCACCCAGGCATCCCAATATTCATTAAAGACTGTGTAGGTAGTTCATATATATGTAGTGTGTGCGTGTGTGTGTGTATGCACGCCTGCAAGATGTCTTGGTTTCATGCCATTCTCACCACGTATAGAAAAGGTTATTTATTAGGTTCTTGTTTATCCTTTTCTGGGGGAGACTCTTTATAACTAAAACATTAACATTTTATAACCATGAATGTAAACCCAGTTACACATACACATGTAAGTTAGAGATAAAATAGCGAATATGGGACATGTTCTCTCATAACAGATCTTCTTCCATCCTTTTTATTCTTGTATAGTTCACTGTTGTGTGGCTATACTATAATGAGCCTCCCAAGATGCACATCTCAAATAATGCCACAATGGTTAACTCTGTATATCCTTGTGGTTTAATGTGTCGGGAAATAGTGTCAGGATATGTTGCTTTAGAAGGGAAGTATCATTTTACACATCTACCAGCAATGTATAACGCACTTATTTTCTCATGGGCATGTTGCAGAATATGTTGTTCCGTGTTTGAATTTTTGCCAATTAGATGGGAGAGAAATTGTGGTGTAGTAGACACTAGGATATGCCAATTGGAACAGGGTTCTGGAAGGAAGGACCTTGGAAGCAGATAGAAGTACCGTGGGAAGGACGTGCTCAGCTGTCAGTCTTCTTTGAGGGTTTCCTGGAGTGAAGAAAACAGTCTCACCTAAGATCAGACCTCTTTTCAAGGGCAGTCCCCATCCAAGGACAGCCTGATTATTACTGGAGGACCCAAGCACAACCCTCTTGGGACTTCTCTGAGAGCCACCTCGTGTAGAACACTTTGTGGCATCAGTGGAGGCTGTCATTCAGATGGCCCTGAAGCTCAAATTTTTCTGCCCAATTTTGCCTCCTTGTGTTACTTTTCAAAATTATTGATGTCTTGTCTAATAATAGTCATGCAGGCTAATCTTCTTTTCAGTTGGCTTCCTGTGAAACCCAACTTATGACAGGTATACTGCTGTTTCATTTTGCATTTCTCTTAGGAAAAAGTTCAGCATCATATATATGCCTATATGTATAACAGAACATATATAATGTGTCATTTGCATAATTATAAATAAGTCAGTCATTATCAGACTCTGCTAATGTTTATATTATCTATCAGATTTCTTTTGTGTATTGGTCTATTTTTCAAGCGTTCCTTATGTCTTTATATCCATTATGTAAGCTATAAACTGCAATTACGTTCTTCTGGATTGTCATTTTATCTTGACATTGGTTATGGCACTATTTCTCCCAATATATATTATATAGTTTATTGTCAAGTTAGCTAACACAGTGTATACAGTGTAGTCTCTCTTGGCTTTGGGAGTAGATCCGTGATTCATAACTTATATACAACACCCAGTGCTCATCCTAACAAGTGTCCTCCTCAATGCCCATCACCATTTTCCCTGTCCCCTCATCTCCCTGCCCCTCAACTCCCATCAACCCTTAGTTTGTTCTCTGTATTTTAAGAGTCTTTTATGGTTTACCTCCCTCTCTGTTTGTAACTATTTTTTCCACCCCTTCCCCCATGGTCTTCTGTTAAGTTTCTCAAATTCCACATATGAGTGAAAACATATCTTTCTCTGACCAATTTATTTAACTTTGCATGATACCCTCCAGTTCCATCCATGTCATTGCAATTGGCAAGATTTTGTTCCTTTTCATTGCCAAGTAGTATCCTATTGTATATCAACAGCACATCTTCTTTATCCATTCATCAGTTGATGGACATTTGGGCTCTTTCAATGATTTGGCTACTGTTGAAAGTGCTGCTATAAACATTGGGGTACATGTGCCCCTATGAATCAGCACTCCTGTTTCCTTTGGATAAATTCATAGTAGTGCTATTGTAATTCTTTTTTAAATTTTTTGAGGAAGCTCCACACTGTTTTCCAGAGTGGCTGCACCAGATTGGATTCCTACCAACAGTGCAGGAGGGTTCCCCTTTCTTCACATCCTCACCAACGTCTGTTGTTTCCTGAGTTCTTAATTTTAGCCACGCTGATTCAAGTGATATGGTATCTCAGTGTGTTTTTGATATTTCTCTGATGATGAGCGATGTTGGGCATCCTTTCTTGTGTCTGTTAGCCACTTGGATGTCTTTTTGGAAAAATGTGTATACCATCTGCCCATTTCTTCACTGGATTATTTGGTTTTGGGTGCTGAGTTTGGTAAGTTCTTTATATATTTTAGATACTAACCCTTTATCCGATATGTCATTTGCAAGTATCTTATCCTATTTTGTTGGTTCCCTTTTAGTTTTGTTGATTGTTTCCTTTGCTATGCAGAGACTTTGTATTTTGATGAGCTCTCAGTAGTTCATTTTTGCTCTTATTTCCCTTGTCTTTGGAGACATGTCAAGTAAGAAGTTGCTGTGGCCAAGGTCAAAGAGGTTTTTGCCTTTTTCTCCTCTAGGATTTTGATGGTTTCCTGTCTCACATTTAGGTCTTTGAATTCAGCAAAGTAGCAGGATATAAAATCAATGTATAGAAATCGGTTGCATTTCTATACAGCAACAATGAAGCAACAGAAAGAGAAATCAAGAAACTGATCCCATTCACAATTGCACAAAAAAACATAAAATACCTCGGAATAAACTAACCAAAGAGGTAAAAGATCTATATGCTGAAAACTGTAGAAAGCGTATGAAAGAAATTAAAAACGATACAAAGAAATGGAAAAACATTTCATGCTCATAGGTTGGAAGAAGAAATAATGTTGAAATGTCATAGTACCCAAAGCCATCTACAGATTCAATGCAATCCCAAATAAAATAGCACCAGCATTCGTCTCAGAGCTAGAACAAACAATCCTAAAATTTGTATGGAACCACAAAAGACCCTGAATAGCCAAAGTAATGTTGAAAAAGAAAACCAAAGCGGGAGGCATCACAATCCTGGACTTTAGCTTGTACTACAAACCTGTAATCATCAAGACATATGGTACTGGGACAAAAACAGACACATGGACCAATGGAATAGGCTAGAGAACCTAGAATTGGAACCACAAATGTATGGTCAACTAATCTTCGACAAAGTGGGAAAGAGTATCCAGTGGAAAAAGACCACCTCCTTAGCAAATGGTGCTGGGAGAACTGGACAGCAACATGCAGAAAAATGAAGCTAGACTACTTTCTTAGACCATATACAAAAATAAATTCAAAATGGAGGAAAGACTAAAAATATTTTTCTAATCTTTATGTAATCAAATTTACCATCATATTCTTATATTGTCTCCATAGTGCATAGTATATTGGTGCATAGTATAAAGGCTTTCTTCAAACTAAGATTACAAATAATTTATTATGTGTTCTCCTGGTTACGTGTAAAGTTAGATTTCTGATCATTTTAGGATTATGGTGGTAGTACATAACTACTTTTATATTTTCCCTAATGATATTCAGTTTTTCCAAAACTATTTTTTTAAAAACTCATTTTCCAGCACTTTTAATTACCATCTCTATTATATACTAAATTTCCATATGTGTCTAAGTCTTTTTCTGTACTGTATATTATGTTCCTTTAGTCTCTATTAATTCATGTCCTAAAACCACACATTTTTAGTTATAGATTTTTTAAAATTCATATTATTTACAGTTCACCTCTTCTATTTTTTTGGCATTTCCTCATATATTACTACAAACTTCTTTTTCTAAATGAACTTAAAAATAAGCATATCTCATTCACACATATAAAAACTTGTTAGAATTTCTTATTGGGATAATATAAAATTTATAATTAATACTGACCTCTTTATTATCTTAATTTTATCCCATTTGTTGGGATGGGATATTTTCCTAGAACAGAGATATTTTGTTCAAGTCTACATTATGCCTTTCAGGAATGTTTTAACCTTGCCCTCAAACAGGTTTTGTACATTTTGCACATTTATATATTTTATATATATTTCATTTTCATATGTTCCTAAGTATTTTCTATTTTGTTGGTATTGTGAATGGCATCTTTTCCATATACTTTCTAAATGGTTATTGTTAGCATATAAGAATACTGTTTATTTCCATATGCAAGGTATCTATCCTACTATCTCACTGAGTACTTTTCCAAATCTTATGGCCAGTTGTTTATTTTCATCTGATTTAAACAAATACCTCCAAAAAAAAATGTGGAGATACTGTGCATCCTTCCTTCCTCCGGAGCTCAATGGGAGTGCCGCTCTATTGGATTATGAACTGAAGCACATAGGTTTTATCATGTTAAGAATTTATCCTCCAATTCCTGCTGTTTTTTTTTTTTTTTTTTTATGTGTACTTATTTCAGAGAGAAAGAGGGAGGGGGAAGTGAGGGGCAGAGAGAGGGGGCAGAGAGAAGCCCAAACAAGCTCTGCACTGTCAGCAGAAAGCCCAATGTAGGGCTTGAACTAATGAACCGTTACATCATGACCAGAGCCAAAGTTGGACACTTAACTGACTGAGCCACCTAGGCTCCATTTTAATTTTTTTCAAACCAAAAATTGGTATTAAATTTTGTAAAAGGCTTTTTTTAGCAATTAAAGCCCATGCTGAAGAACACCTCGAATTGTGTTGGCATTACACTTGAATGTCTGGTAAGATTCTCATAAAATCATGTGGGCCCTGATGCTCCTATGTGGGGCAGTTCTTTGATGACATTATTATTTCTTCTCTATCATTAGTCATTGTAAGCTGTCTGTCTCACTTGGGGCAGTTTTGGTTAAAAGTATTTCCTCATGAAATTTCATCTAAATTTTCAAATTAGTTGACATAGAATTCTATAAAATA